CCTCACTATTCATCGGAATTGGGCTTATAATATATCGTTGGAAAAGTCTTTTCAAACCCCATCCAACTACACCATTATTGGACCCATATCATGGACCAAACTAAACTGGAATGCACGTTTTTCAAAAATAGGGTAAGAAAAGAAACATTTTCAAAAACAGAATGAAAAGATATTTTAATAAAAACATCCTCATCACTAGACTTTTCACACTTTCGCTTTGTTCGATAATCAAATGACATGAAAGGTATTCATCACTGTGTTTGGTTTTGGGGAGACACCCTTTTATTAAAATCACAATTATATTACTCTAAATAAAATTCCAGCATTTTAAACTAATAAAAAACCCTTTAAAATTTCATCAAAATACATCTTTATACTTAAATTATCCATAGAAACATTAAATGATCTCTTACCCTTTTTAAACTCAAGGATAAAATTTAAAGCAAAAAAAAAAAAAAAAAAAAAAAAAAAAAAAAACTTCGTTAAAAATAAAAAACTGCCTGAAAATCATATTTAGAGGCTGAATTTGGCCACGAGAGGGTGGTGATCACCACTTAAAGTAGTGAGTCTTTCTTAGAACGTTGTTTCCACATGGAAAACAGTAATTTTTTTTTATCAAAATATGATGAGTTCATAACCTGATCAGGATTAAAACGGGATTAAAATTAACGAACGAAAATCTAAATATTAAAACACAAATTTACGTGTACAAAATAATCTGGAATTAAGTTAAACTAATCAGTAGTTATAATCACCAAAATTTCTAAACATCATTACTATAAAAGCCCTAAATCAATTGTTCATAAAAACCCTAAAATCATGATTTTTCAATAATTAAAAACGCTGGGTTATAAAGTTTACAAAATCTGAAAATTATGACATTTATAAAATCTGAAATTATAAAGTTTAATCATCAAAATACAATTTGATACTAATTAAATTAATTTCAAACAATCAAAAACCATAAATCAATAATTATAATTGCACAAAATAATAACACAAAGGAGAAAGAAAATAAGACTAACCTTTTTGTGTGGGAAATTTTTGGAGATTCATGGGGTATAAATAGTGTAGAGAGTGTAAGGTTAAATTTGGGCTTATAAAAATGTGGGCTTAGGTTATGGGATAGGGCTTAAATTATGAGTTTTGGAATGGGTTATTCCAATAAGTGTATGTAGGAATAATTTACATTGTCCAATAATTAATAAACGCTTGGCCCAAAATATATTTTACTTTTATAAAACCTTATATTTAAAATACTTTAACCCTTTAAAATATTTAATTAAAATACTTGAAATACATAAAAATATGGGGTATTACAATTAAACAATTAAAGCACTTACTAGGATGTCTCGTACCTCTTTCTAATAACAAAATACACACGTTATTAACTTCAAGGAAAATAATAATCAAAATAATTAAATTAAATAATTGAAATAGAGATTTGAAACCAAACCCTCAGAAATATCAAATCTTTCACGTCTAGGAAGAAGACAACTTCGAACTTGGCAGAGTGTGTCTAGTGCTAATATATGTGGAATTTTGTTTGTAAAAGGCTAGGCTCAAAAGAGGGAGAGAGAGGGAATAAGCTTTAGCTTAGAGAGAGAAGAGAATTAGAGAATTCTGGTTAAGAGTTGATGATTGAAAACGGAGGTCCAGGGACCCTATTTATAATGAAATAGTTCGGAATGGATAATACGAATAAGAGTTCGAAAAGAAATAAAACATGCCTATGTCGTTTGGCGCTGCAAGACAGTTTTTGCGAATTTTGTTTTTATCATATCTTTTGATCCAGAAGTCCAAATAAGTCATATAATATGTCGTTGGAAAGCTCTTGAAGTCTACTTTTCAATAAAATTATAATTAGATTAAAATATTTTGTAGATAAAAAGATATGACCAAAATAGTGAAAGGGTGTCAGTTTTGGGTAGAGTTTCATATTCCATTCATATCTTTTTCGTTATAGCTCGAAATTAATATTATAATATATTATTGGAAAGATAATTTCAAGATATATCCAACCATGTAAGAGTTGGATAAATATTATGAGGCAAAAAAATAATATCTGAATATATTCCATTTCGTACAAAATTAGGATTCTCAAAAGGAGTAGTTTTATTCAATTTCAAACTCTTTGAAACATAATTATCAATCCTAACTCCATTAGGATTTAAGAGAATCTTCTAGAGTATTCTAGAAGATTATAATCAATCGTAATAACTTTAGGAATGATAATTAATAATAAGCCCTCCTCTAGATCATTGGGCCGCATATAAGAACTAAACCAGGCCCAGTTTAGTGTTTTGGCCATAACTTCCTCATTATTCATCGGAATTTGGCTTATAATATATCGTTGGAAAGATCTTTTCAAGCCCCATCCAAATACACTATTATGGACCCATATCATAGACCAAACTAAACTGGGATGCATGTTTTCATAAATAGGGTAAGAAAAGAAATATTTTCAAAAACAGAAAGAAGAGATATTTTAATAAAAACATCCTCATCACTAGACTTTTCACACTTTTGCTTTGTTCGATAATCAAATGACATGAAAAGTATTCATCAATGAGTTTGATTTTGGGGAGACACATTTGGGTGTCTACAGAGTCTGCAAGGGTTCAATTATGTTGTGTGCCCTCTTATTAAAAAACAAAAGCACATAAGGGATTATGATTTATGAATGATGATCGTACATCATGGTTTGGTGTATTGGAATGGATGTTTGGTTTTTGTTATGTCCTCAGTGATTATATGATGTAGGGAACTATTGCTGCCCCTATGAGTTTGTGTAACTTTACATATCTGTTCATTAATGAGTCCCTCTGTTGTGTGTTGTGTGTTATGTGTAACAATGAAGTTGTGGAGTCCCCCTTCTTGGCTGTTTTTTTTTTTACACAGGTGGGAAGCTTTAAACTTCCAAATTTCAAAGTTTTTAAATATTTGGTGATAAATTTAGAGGGAAATGGAATTCCCTCCTTACTTCACAGATTTCCCCACTAAAATGCAAGTGGAGGGGGGCCTACATTCTCTCTCCTTAAAAATTTAATCATTCCCCTTAACTTTCTCTAATCTTTGCCTCTTAAATTTTGCATCGTGAACCGCAAACCCCTCCAAAGTTGCAGAAAACATTTAACGGAGGTAGTATAAGCATCCCAAAACTGTTGATCTACTACAATTGTTGCAATTGTTCCCTTATGTAATTCTAATAGATGTATCATATCGGACAAACATGTATGATGTTCCTTTGTTAGAGGTGATTGAACTGGGAAAAAAATATTCATGTTGCATTTGGTTTCAGAAATGAAAAAACTACAAGTTTCTTATGGATATGCAAAGAGTAAAGGAATTATTTGGATCTGAGAATAACGCTAAAGTAATTTAGGTGTCTAGATCGAGTTCGATGAGGTTGAGTCGAATCAAATTTATTACAATTTTGAGTTATACTTTAGAGGTATCAAAACAACATCGACCCAATTCGAAAAACATTTGATTCAGATTTCGATTTGCATGAACATAATAATTTAAAATAACACTCTATAACTATAAAAAATTGACCAGGCACAATCGCACAATGGACACCTCTAGCTATATTATACAAGTTGAATCTAAGTCTAATCTATACTTAGTATTTAAAAACACAAAGTAACTTGCAAATTTAAGTAAGGAAATTAAGTGTTTCATAAAGTCGCAGTCTTTTCATCTTCTAAACTTAAAATAAAGTAATAGCAAAAAAAAAAAGTTGAGCTAATTACTCCACATTATATAAACATATATATAACTATATAAGGGTTTGTTTGGCATTGCTGTGATTTTCTGTTTTTTGGTTTTTTGTTTTCTAAAAGTATATGATATGAGTCCCATAATGAATAAAAAATTATACTCTCTCAGTTACGAGTTACTCGCAACAAAGGGAGGAGTTGCGGACTCCTAGGCGAAATATCTTAAGTGTGATTATTGAAAAATAAGGGATGTGCTTAGTATTAATCCAATAGTAAAAAAAAACCTAAACACCAAGCACCACAACCACGAAACCACCACCACCTAGCAAAACCACAACCACGAAAACACCACCAGTCAGCGCGCCACCAACAAAACCCAGCACCACCACCACCTGCGCACCCTTTGCGAAGCCGCCGAACCCACTACAACCCACCACCACCCACCCGAAACCCACAACCCACGAACCTAGAGCCACAACCCTGAAACCCACCACCACGAACACAGACCCACAACTGCCGAACCCACTACAACCCACCACCACCCACCCCCAAAACCCAAAACCCACGAACCCAGACCCACAACCCTGAAATCCACCACCACGAGACCACCCACGAATTCAAACCCAGAAATTCGAACCCACGAAACCACCCACAAAATTCAAACCAAGCACCACCAAAACCTTAAATTCGAAACCAGAAATTCGACCCACTAAGCACCAAACCCTGAAATTCGACCCACCAAGCACCAAATCTAGAAATTCGAGCCACCAAATGCACAACGAACTCAGAAAAAGTTAGATCTAGAAAAGGAAGAGAGAGAAAACAAATGTGTCGACAAGGAAGAAGACGACAGCGGTGATTTCCGGCATTAGGAGCGATCATTGGTGGTGGTGGTTGTTGCAAATGAAGGTGATGGTGGTGGTGGTGATGATGAATTTAGATGGGAGGTGATTAAATCAATGTTAGGATTTAAGTTAATAAGATAAATTCAATAGTTTAATTAGGGTGTTTAGGAAAAAAAGTAGGGTAATGTTGTAATATCACACAAAAAAACTAACCATAAAAGGAAATAAATAAGTTTGTTGCAAGTAATGTGTACCAGACATTTTAAGTAATTGTTGCGAGTAATTCGTAACGGAGGGAGTATAAACTTATTAAAATTATGATAATTTTGAAAACTGACAACAGAAAAATGGTAACACCTTTTTCTTGTTTCATGTTTTTGATTTAAAAAAAAACAGGAAAACTTAAAACCAAAACTGATGCCAAACAAGCCCTAAAGTACAATAAAACAATACTGACTCAAATAACACAAATAGTATATGAAACGGGCCAGAAAGCTAGTTTTGTTCAAATCGATTAAGATCGAATCAGTTGGGTCAGTTGATAAACCTAACAAAAACATACGGAAAAAAAAACACACACAGAAGTAGGTCTGCTTCTTTCCCTCTCAGTTTCCAATTGACGCCCACTCCACTTCCTCCATTGAGGCCAACTTCTAATATCTCTATCTTCCATTGAAGCAGCTTCTGAGGTAAGATATTGTTTCCTCTACTAATTATCGAATTTCTATTTCACAATCTAGGTTTTATCGTTAATTTGATTCTCACTTTACTCAATTTAAGGTTCTGCTAAACTCAATTATTGAACATTATTGTTTGTAATTACTAAACGAGAAGAAAATTATGAGCTTAATTTGATATTTGAATCAGATTTTCGGGATTGAACTATGAAATTGGAACTGAGCCTAATTTAATAATCGAATCGAATCAAATTTGCTAATGTGTTGCAGAACCCTTTAATTGTTAAGATCGAACTTATGTCTAGGTGCTGCAATAAGCACTTTTATTATGGTTAGTATTTCTAGTCAAGATTTTTAAAATGGCTGATTCTGGGGTTTGTACTTTGTAGTAAAGTAGACTTGTAGTTTGTTTGCCTTAAAATGCATTTTAAGTATAAAATGTTTACCTTAAAGTTTCCTGCTGCTCTTAGAAGCAGTAATTTGCGAGTGGTTATATTCTACTCTGATTCGAGTTTTAGTGGAGAGACGGGGATGAAAACGAACAAAAATTACGTGGAGGGCCATAAGCGGACATGGCAGAAAGAGAGAACTAAGCATAGAGATATGAAAAACTAATTCGTATTTCCGGTGTTTGTTTAACTAAGAATAGCTTTGGTTTGCAGACCACAATTTCTTGGTGGCGGTATAAGGATGGTGAAGTCTCAATCTTCCGGAAACAGCTCATGACTTTAGGGTTGTACTCTTCCCGGTAAAGTACCCATCATCTTCTTCCTGCTCACCTTCATTTTCTCACCTCTCAATTCTTTCATCTTTCTTAATTCCAGACATTTTCTATGGTATAATTCAGCTTAGTAGGTTTTTTATTGGAATGTCTTTGCATTGATGGCTGATATTGAACCTATTAGTTCTGAATATGTAGTATATTATTTAGACTTTAATAGGCTCAATTTGGCTTTGTAGGTTATTTAGTTTGGTTTTTGACATCTTGTGCATTGATTGTTGATATTAGAGAGAGAGAGAGAGAGAGAGAGAGAGAGAGACTGTTTGTTGTTTTTTTAAAAAATGTTCCAAGAGACTGTGTGTTGTTTTTTTAAAAAATGTTCCATGAGGATTGATTGGAAAAAACTTAACACTTTAATTCAAAACTATTTTATGTGAAAAGTCTTTATTATTATTATTATATTTTTTTTACCCTTCTTTTTATTCCTTCTCTCCGCCATCCCAATTTTTTATGACTTTTTTTTCCCCTCCCTTCTCCCACTTTCAAATCTAATACTTCTTCTATATTTTTTTAAGATGATTAACATTCTTACAAAGGTAGTTGATGCAACACAGCATTTCTAATTTACCTTATTCAGTGACTTTAGTGAACCAATATTACAATTTTTCCCTTACTGAATACCTCATCAGTTAGCAGTCTTAGCACTTACAATCAATTAATTTAACTAGACTCATTTGGTTACCCAACTTATCAAATCAATCTTTTGACTTATATACCCACAACTAGGGGTGAGCATGACCGGGTAGGCAGGTAACTTGTCAAAATTTTGGAATAGGAACTAGAATCTGTTGCAAAAGGTTCCTCTAAATGGGAACTGAAACCTGTTCCTGAAAATGAGATGAGTACGCTTGTCTTATAGTAATATACAACAAATTTTTGCAAAATTATTTTTAAAAATTCTTGATGCTCACAAAGTCACAACTATTTCAAGTTCACAAGAACAATAAACCAATTGTAGATTTGTAGTTGTCTAGCAAATCTAATACAAGTACTCCCACTGTTCCTAAAATTTGACATGGTTTTGTTATTTATTTTTATTTCTTTGATTGTAATTATGAGGATAATAAGTTCGTTTTGTTGGTCCTGGTTCATCCTTATGTTTTGCTAAAGATCAATATTGATCATTTGGTTAATACGAAATAAGCCTAATGCTAAATGGATTGTATGAGGTCATGTGTTACATTATTGGATCGAACAAAGAAAACCAAACCGATAGCATGGGTATGGGCTTGATGTTGGCCGGTCAAAGGGAGTGAGGATAAGGAGTGTACTTGCCTTAATTAGTATTATTTGATTATATAATTAGGGGTTTTGGGAAAATGAAAGATATACGTAATATTTTCCTAAAGGAAAAAAACTTACAATTTCATTCTCTCTCTTTCTTACATATATTCTCCTTTCTCCATTTAAGAGGAGATTGATTTCCTCCGCCCAACTAGAATTGGTGTAGGTTTGATTCACACTTGTAGACTAGTTGTAGAGGGGCTTCAATTGCAGCTCTATGATCAATTGCTAAGTATATGCGTTCTTGATTTCTTCTAGGAGATTTAGAGCCACAATTAAAGCCTCTCTACGATTCGTCTATAAGTGTAAATCGGACCTCCACTAATGCTAGTTGTACGAGAAAAATCAATCTTCTCATCAATGGAGAAAACAATCGGCTATGTGAGAGAGAGTGGGGAATGAAAATGTATGTTGTTTTCTTTTGGGAAAATGTTACATGTATCTTTCTTTTTCCCAAACCCCTAATTATATAATCACATTATACTCATTAGGAATACACTCCCTTTCCTCACTTTCCTTTGGCTGGCTCACAGTGTAATATGTGACTTTGTAGGATCCATTTAGTTGATATTGGATTTATTCCGTATCATCCTAATGATCAAATATTGTTCTCTAGCAAGAGTGCAAGACATAATGACGACCTAATGAAACTAATCTATTACCTCCTATATTATATTTAATAATTGCACTAGTCAAGGATATAATTTCTCCAACCATTTTCACTACTAAAACACAACACTTTTGTCACCTAGACTTGTAGATTTTTGTGAGTATCTGTGTTGCAAATCTTGCAATGACACAAACTTGATGTGGGATTTGATCCTAGTCTTCCTACAATGCACCTCAAAGCTCAAAATAGGGAAACGCTAGATCTACAGATTTGAACAGCAATTCTTGATGATAAGTGTCAATATTGTGTCTTTTCGGAGTGAGGTGATTCCAGCAGGCCGTGGCAGAGTTAACATCTTAGCCAATGGTCTTTAGTGGTTGGAGAAGTGCATACCATGCATACCACAACAGGAAAAATAAAGCATGTTGTGATGGAGGAGAATGAGAAAAAGAGAATGGTCGGATGTGTGGGGCTGAGGAAAGAGAAAAATATGTGGCAATGTAATCAAGTCTATAAGATACATTTCTCACATGACATTTAATTAAAAGTACTTTTTCCACTTTTATTTTCTTTTTTTTTTTTCCCCTTTTACTCTTATAGTACTTTTCATTTTTCTTATCTCTATAAAATTAAACAAAAAATATGTAATTTTTTGAATTTTCTTGCAAAAAAGTAAAAAACATAAAATAAAAAGATTAGATATTTAATTCCAGACTTTTGAAAAAAATTCTCAAATTTTTTTTTTTTTTTTTTTTATGGTATTGTCGTGTACTTGTGTCTCTGTACCTGTGTCCAAATTCTGGGCAGTGGGGTGATGGGGTTTGTCTGTTCGAATTACTCAAAAAGTAATATCTCTATTTTGCTTTACCCTAACTACCATGGGCAACGAAGCATTAAACTATTTTTTGTTGTTTGCGTAATCACCATGTCATTCCTATATTTTGCATCTGAGAAAATAGGAGGAAGGGTAAATCAAACAGCTGTACTTATTCTCTGTGAAGTATAATCTTGGGTTGGAAGAAGTATGTACTTTCCTAAAATCTTTTTAAAAAAGTAAAAACTGTCCCTCCCCCATTTGGTGTTTTTATTTTTTATTTTTATTTGTTTGATTGTAATTTGTTGAATGTATAATCTTTCAGGTATTGCTTGAGAAATTTGATTAGCAGACTTCAATTCTCTCAAAGGTGAACATGTTTCTTTTCAATTTGGATAGTAAACCAATTCTAGTTCCATTTTTTTTATTGTCCTTTTTGATTGGGGTTTTTATTTATTTATCTATTTAGTTTCCCGTTAACCGTTTTTCAGAATTCAATTTCTAGTGAAAATGATACACATTTATCTTTGATTTTCTCTATCTATTGGCATATGGGTATCCTATTATCTTTATAAACTACCAATGTTTTTGAAGGTTATTAACATTTACTATTTGCAAGGCAATAGGAGAGAGTGTTGATGTGGTGAGTGGGTGTAAGTAAAAAGGTTGGTAAAGTAAGAGATTGAGTGTGTGAAAAGGTGGTTGGGTGCAATAGAAATGTGGATAAAGTAGAAGAGTGAGTGAAAAGGTATCAATTTTGTGGAGATACAATGAAAATTGATGTTCAAAGAGACCGGATAAATTCTTCAAGGCACGTGATAAACGCTTTCCTAATAGTTATTTATCGACTCTCTTTGGAACAATCGAGTTACACGATAACACTATTGGGATACAATGAAAAACCAATTAGTTTTGCTTGGTTCTTACAAAACTAATTCAACAAAGTTTGAGTAGAAATGTGTTTGTTTTCACTCTAAGAAAAATTACTGCAGATTTTCTCTCAAAGTAAGCAAGAATGATTTGTCATACTAATCTCATCATCATACATGTCATATAAACTCCTATTTATAGAGTTTATATGAAGAGCAGTTTTAATTCCAACGGATATGTCCGTTCACAAAGCAAACCGTTCAAAAAACTGTCAAAATCGTCAGTTTTGAACTTTGCCCGGTCAGACCGGGCAATGGAGCCCTACTGGGCGCGAGCAACACTTTTGTAAAACATGTAAAAATTGACAAACCCCCTTTGCCCTGGCAATTGAGCCCTACCGGGCGCGAGTAACATCACAATGAAATTGAGATAATTGACAATTTTTACTCGTGCTCGCCCTACAGACAGCCCAGGGCGAAGCACAAATTTGTCAATTTTGCCTTGTTTTGTCACTTTTATACATCTTGCTTTGCTATACCTCTAAGTATAATCATTATACTAATCCTCCTCAACTCCTAGCATAATATAAGCTTCATATATGATACATAAGCTCCATTTATTCCATAAATGTTCCAACAGAGGTGTAAGGTAGTAAATAGAGTTTTTCCAAAATGGAAAAAAGTGAAAGTGCTAAGAACCTTTAGAAACGAACAAAAACAGAAAATGCTGAGAACTTTAATAAACGGAGATTTATTTGTATCAGTCGTCGAGCCAAGTGATATTATGTAGCATTATTTTTTCATTTTTGCATTAAATTCTGTACTTTGCATGGTAACCTTTGCTTTTATTTGGATCCATCTCACTGATTGCATCCCTCAAGTCAAAGAAGTTGGATGCATAATTAAGTCTACACATGTGCATTCTTTTGGCCTGTTGATTTTCTCATGTGCACTGGCATTGAATATCTGATTTTTTTGAGGTTCATGCACATTTGATAACATGAGTATTCTATTTCACTTTCAGTTATGCATAATGTTTGTGTGGTTACAAACTTTGTATTAGATGTAATGACGTTTAAATGGTTTCTAGTTTTGTTTTTTTTTTTTTTGTTTTTTTTTGGAAACAAAGCCCCAAAGGGCAACTAGCTTTCATTCATAGAAATATCATGATCCAACAGAGGTACAAGATTAGTTGGGAAATTCGACAGCCAGACATATCTGCCAACATCCCAAGGCCTTCAATGTGCAAGTTCATTAGCAACCTTATTCCCATTTCTATGAACAAAACTCCAAGAAACAACATAAAAAAGACTAGTAACATGATAGATATCATCGAAAATTATATGAAGGGAGCTATTCCCTCTCTCCCGTGATGAAAGCGCATTAATCAGACCCTGACAGTCACTCTCAATCTCAACACAATGAAAGCCATATTCTGCAGCAGCCTTGAGTCCCAGCAAGGTGGTGATATAGATCAAGAGTTTTTATTTAAAAAATTGTAGATCAAGATTTGTGCTTCTGATACTTTATCTAGGGATAATCATAATTCTGTAACTCTTCCATCTTTACCTTAGGTAGTTTATAATCCAAGTCATCTAACTTAAGATACCTATATCTGTGTTTTTACAATTTTTAACGAGCTTTCAGAATCTTGCATGTTTTCTAATTAATGGCAGTGAACAATCTGAACATTATTAAGTGTGAAGTCCTCTATTCTGCTGCTCGTTACTGTATGATATTGATCTTTTTCTTTATGCTGTGCATTTTGACTGTGGTTCTATCTACTTTGATATAGTGATATCTTTGATTCCCTTTGTTTGCAAATACACATCTTTGTTCTATGCATTTCAAACTTGAGCCCTCACTGGTTTCATGTCTACTGAAATTCCTTGACTTACACTATGAATTTATTGTTGTTATGTACATTCAAAAGAGTAAAAATAATCTTTCCTTGTGCTATTTTGAAGTAAGTTTCTTAACATGCCCTCAGAAAAAAATAATAATAAAAAATAACGACAGAGAGTTCTGTAACATAGAATTTGAGAAAAAAAATTACGTCCTATTATGACCACAAGAAACAAATGACCCTTCTTGTAGGAGGGAGAATATTTAAGCTGTACAGCTTGTCAGTGCATATTGTTTATACAGGATATTTCATTGTCCCATATAATCTTATGATGACATACTATTTCACATTAAATAGTTTTGCCAAGTGGTCAATCTAGGATTGTTGTTGCTTGAGCAATTTTTCAGCTTGGACAGGTACATTAAATAGTTTTGTTGTAGGTTTATGGTGTTTAATTGATGTAGCTCATACGAGATATAATAGCATTTCCCAAATCCATTAATATCTATTCCACTGCCACTAAAGTTGTTCTTTTTTTATTTTACATTTTTTTTTTTGAACAGTTTCTGCAAGACTTCTTCAAACATGGCTGAGGGTGGTAAAAGCTTTGTTCGGAGGGATCGTCTGCTTGATATTGAGTCAAAGGTCCATATGTGGTGGGACCAAAATAATGTATTTGTAGCTGAGCCTGGTGAGAAGCCTCCTGGAGATGGAGAGAAATTTTTTGGGAACTTCCCATTTCCATATATGAATGGATATTTGCATCTTGGACATGCATTTTCAATTTCCAAGGTAGAATTTGCTGCAGCTTACCATAGATTGAGAGGAGCCAATGTACTCTTTCCTTTTGGTTTCCACTGCACCGGCATGCCCATTAAGGCTGCAGCGGATAAACTTAAAAGAGAAATTCAATTGTTTGGAGATCCACCTGAGTTTCCTTCGGCAGTGGAGGAAGAAGTTAGCCAGCCATCAGAACAAGAGGATGCAAATGCAGGATCACAGCCATTCAGGGGTAAGAAGTCAAAGGTTGCAGCCAAAACTGGCACCAGTCTGTATCAGTGGGAGATCATGCGAAGTTTTGGCCTTTCCGACGAAGAAATTTCAAAGTTTCAGGATCCATATGAATGGCTGACCTATTTTCCGCCCTTGGCAGTTGAAGACCTTAAAGCTTTTGGCTTGGGTGTTGACTGGAGGCGCTCTTTTGTCACCACAGATATTAATCCATACTTTGATTCTTTTGTGAGGTGGCAAATGAGGAAGCTCAAAGCAGCTGGTAAGATTGTGAAAGATAAAAGATATGCTATCTTTTCTCCACTAGATGGACAACCATGTGCAGACCATGACAGGGCTTCTGGTGAAGGGGTCCAGCCCCAAGAATACACAATAATAAAGATGGAAGTTGTTCCACCGTTTCCTGCAAAATTGAGCGCTTTAGAGGGGAGGAAAGTATATCTGGCTGCTGCAACATTGAGGCCAGAGACCATGTATGGTCAAACAAATGCGTGGGTATTGCCTGAAGGTAAATATGGGGCCTTTGAAATTAATGAGACTGACCTTTATGTAGTCACAGAGAGGGCAGCTCTTAATCTTGCATATCAGAACTACTCAAGGGTCCCAGAGAAGCCAACATGCTTGGTAGAGCTTACTGGTCATGACTTGATTGGTTTGCCTTTGAAATCTCCGCTTGCTCAAAATGAGATCATTTACACACTTCCCATGCGAACTATCTTGACAGATAAAGGAACTGGGATAGTAACCAGTGTCCCTAGTGACGCCCCTGATGACTATATGGCCCTGCATGACTTAAAGGCAAAACCAGCTCTGCGGGCGAAATTTGGTGTAAAAGATGAATGGATACTTCCTTTTGAGATCATACCCATTATTGATATCCCTGAATTCGGTGATAAGCCGGCTGAGAAGGTCTGCACTGATTTGAAGATCAAGAGCCAAAACGAAAAGGACAAGCTCGCAGAAGCGAAGCGATTAACTTATTTGAAGGGTTTCACTGAAGGGACAATGCTTGTTGGTGAATTTGCTGGGGAGAAGGTCCAGGATGCCAAGCCAAAAGTAAGACGTAAGCTTTTAGAAGCAGGTGAAGCCATTATGTATAGTGAGCCTGAGAAAAAGGTCATGTCTAGATCAGGCGACGAATGTGTCGTGGCTTTGACAGACCAGTGGTACATCACATATGGTGAGCCTGAATGGAAGGAGCTAGCCAAGGAGTGCTTGGATAACATGAATTGCTACTCGGACGAGACACGTCATGGTTTTGAACACACCTTGAGTTGGCTAAATCAATGGGCCTGCTCAAGGTCATTTGGCCTTGGGACTCGTATCCCTTGGGACGAGCAGTACCTTGTAGAGTCCCTCTCTGATTCAACTATATACATGGCTTATTATACTGTTGTTCATTTTCTGCAAAATGGAGAAATGTATGGATCTAATATCAGTTTGATAAAGCCGGAACAAATGTCTGATGATGTCTGGGATTTCCTGTTTTGTGGTGGTCCGTATCCAGATTCATCAGATATTGATTCAAATGTGCTTAACTCAATGAAGCAGGAGTTTGAATATTGGTATCCTTTTGATCTTCGTGTGTCTGGCAAAGACCTTATTCAGAACCATCTGACATTTAGTATCTATAATCACACAGCACTAATGGACAAGCGCCACTGGCCTCGTGGGTTCAGATGCAACGGACACATTTTACTGAATGCTGAGAAGATGTCCAAGTCCACTGGGAACTTCAGGACTCTGCGCCAGGCCATCGAAGAGTTCTCCGCAGATGCCACACGTTTTGCTCTTGCTGATGCTGGTGATGGTGTTGATGATGCAAATTTTGTATTTGAAACTGCAAATGCAGCGATTTTGCGTCTCACAAAAGAGATTGCATGGATGGAAGAAATTCTTGCTGCTGATGAAGCTCTTAGATCGGGTGAGCCTTCTTCTTATGCTGACCGGGTGTTCGAAAATGAGATTAATCTTGCAATAAAGCTGACTGAGCAAAACTACCAGAACTATATGTTCCGAGATGCTCTTAAGACTGGGTTTTATGACTTGCAAGCTGCTAGGGATGAATATAGGTTCTCTTGTGGGGCTGGTGGCATGAACAGGGTTTTAGTGCAGCGTTTTATGGATATTCAGACACGACTTATTACCCCTATCTGCCCACATTATGGGGAGTATGTTTGGAGAGAACTTTTGAAGAAGGAAGGCTTTGTAATAAAAGCTGGCTGGCCTGTTGCCGAGGCACCTGATTTAGCCCTTAAGAGTGCCAACAAATATTTGCAGGATTCGATAGTGCTAATGAGAAAGCTCCTCCAGAAGCAAATTATGGGTTCAAAGAAGGGTGGCAAGAAAGGAGTCCCTGTTCAACAGCTTACAGAAGACAAGCAATTAACTGGTTTAATTTATGTAAACGAAACATATGATGGCTGGAAGGAAGAGTGCTTGAAAATACTTCAAAGCAAATTTGATTCAAGAACTTGCACCTTTGCTCCAGACAGTGAAATTATGGGGGCACTGCAGACGAGTGAGATTGGGAAGGCTTCCAATTTCAAGCAAATCCAGAAGCAATGCATGCCATTCTTGAGGTTCAAGAAGGATGAAACTCTTGCTCTAGGCCCCCAAGCCTTGGAGTTGAAGCTTCCTTTTGGTGAGATGAAGGTCCTTTCAGAGAATTTGAATTTGATTAAGAGGCAGCTTGCACTCGAGCAGGTGGAGATTCTGTCGTATCAAGATGAGGATGCTTGTGCCAAGGCTGGTCCTCTTACATCTGTTCTAAAACAAAATCCTCCATCTCCTGGTAATCCTACTGCCATCTTCTTGACAAACTTATGAAGCTGAATTTTCTGTGGTTTTTGTTTAGGCATTTTTGTTACGAATTTTGACTTTATCTTCTGTATTAAATTCTTGAAAGCACATTGTTTTATCTTGAGTTCTTATGAAGTTTAGTTTAGTTCCAGTGATCGAACTTGCCTTTATTCTTACATGGATTTTGAGTTGCCATATATGCTTTTGATTCCATCATGTATAGTTTACACCAGTTTTCATTTTTGTCAAGCATATGGTACATATTTACTTCAGCTGTCTTTCAACTTAGGTCATAGTGTAATTATAATCTCCGAGTGTGACAGCACATCTCAAGCTCAAGGTGCTGCAAGATTAATTAGGAAACATATTTATGAAATGCCGCAAAACTTATAAAAGCAAATTTAAATGTGTGAAAAACAAGCAGTTCTTTACTAAGATCCTAAGAGAAATAGTCCAACATTTGGCTTTAAAATCACAAGCTAAGAGACGCACACAATGCGAGCTCTATCAAGCTCGATTTTTTTTTTCTTCATAATATTATCTCCTTTATTCTAATTTAAAAAATATTAGCGGGTTTAAAAATTGTTGATAAAATATAATAAAAAAAAAATATGATGATGTATGTAGGCTAAATATAAAATTTGACTTTGCTAAAAACAAATTTAAAAAAGAAAATATACGGAGTATATTTTTTTTACCAAGAGGATAGTTTTTTTTTATTTTTTATTTTTTATTTATTTTTTTATTTTTTAAAGATGGTAGTTCTTCTAAATATTTTTTCTAAAAAAAGAAAAAGCTGTAAAGGTATTTTGGGAAAGTGAAATTTATCACCCAAAACCCCCTTTCACTTTTTATATAGGATATATCCACTGAGGAAGAGTTGCATTTGCTTCCTAATTATGTGAAGCAGACATCCTAGACTTGATTTCACACACCCTAAGGCAATGCTGAGAATCATTGCAGACTTGCTGTGAATTACGTCAGAGTTTCTTTAGGACGGTTAAAATGTCACACACAATAACCTTCTGACATATTGCATTTCTCTCTAGAAAAAGTCCTTCCTTCAGCTGTCATCTTTGCCGTATATATGATCTAGTTTTAGCTAGTGAATCTTCAATCTTGGTAAACAGAGGAAAATGGCCACATTATCTTAGTCGGAGTTTTAGATGATACAAAGTTCCCTCTTTTTGGTGGGTGGTAATCTGGTATACATGTCCTTTTGAATGCATAATAGTCTAATATCTTCTACACTGATATAACCTCTTTCGTAAGTGTTTAGGTTCCATTAATGCCGTAATTATCCCTGCATTTGTTGATAGGAAAACATCTGATGCCTTTGTTTGCTCCTATATCTTTCAAAAAAGTTACAGTAGTACAAATTCTGGTGCAATTTTAGGGGAATAGTTACAGTAGTACAAATTCTGGTGCAATCTAAAGGGCAAAGTTACCGTAGTACAAGTACCATATACCTCACTAGTACCCTCATAGGCAAGTTCTAAAGTGTCCCATACCTCGGCACTGGAGCATCCTGAGATCATGGTTTGTCTCACCCTCTCTAGTTGCTTATTGTAGAATGGAAATGGACATAGCCTTTGCGTTCTTCTCCAACAATTTTGTAGTCTTAGGAAATGTATTCGTTCTCTGGTTTGGGGATGATATTCCTTCTTAGGCCGCTTTTCCAATACTAAAGTACCATCTTTGACAATCAGCCAACATTTATAATCAATTCCAACGATGATGTTCTTACTTTTAAATCTTAGGGTAAATATATTTTCTATAGTTACAAAACTGCACAATAGAAAGTACCTAGTATATTATTTTGTTCCATAAATAAAACGAGGATAATATCTATCTTGAACTACCAGTAGTGTTTAGAATACTAGCTCACCTGTTTTTGGTATTGGCAATACTTAACTTCTTTATTGAAACACTTAACTTCTTTATTCAAACACTTCACCAATGTACTTATACAAAAAGACTCGGGGTATGTTCTTTTCAGCTTGGTTTCAGTTCATTTCAGTTCCAATCAGTTCAGTTCAGTTCAATTCCTAATTTTCAGTTCAGTTCAATTCCTAATTTTCAGTTCAGTTTCACTCCAATCAGTTCAGTTCATTAAATTTGATCAGGTCCTTAATTAAGAAAACCTTTATCCTAGTTATCTTCATGCATTCCATCAGAAGGGATGAAACATTTCATGGATGCTTTTATATTTTTTTTTATTTTTTATTTTTTTCAAAAAGATGATGATTTTTTTTTTCAATAATGTATAATCTATACGTAAATTGATTAACAAAATTAATTTTATTTTGTGAAAATACCCTAATCAAAGGGTAAAACTAACATCTAAGTAGAATTCTTGTAAAAGATAATTAGATCTAGAGTAATTCAAATGTGTGATTTTTGTCATCATTTTCCTTGACTTTTTTAAGGGTTATATATTTTTCATGATTGAACATACAATATGATATCATAAGACCTTTTACCCTTAATTAGCAATTTAACATCCTATTAAATTATACTTCCTCCGTTTCTATTTAGTTGACGCGTTTGATTTAGGCACATATATTAAGGAGAGGAGAGAGAGTGAGAGAGAATGAAAAAGCAAGTGGGGTACCTTGTAAATGCAAGTAAAAAATTTACCCCAAAAGAAAACGTGTCAACTAAAAAAAAACTTCCTAAAAAGGAATACGTGTCAACTAAAAAAACGGAGGTTGTATATGCAATTTCCCTCCCCCCCTAATATATATGCAATTTTTTTTATTTAATTTTTTTAATTTTATATATGATTTGAAATTAATATGATGCATATAAGTTGTTGCACGTTTACAAAGTGGTGGTATCGGATTGAAACTTGATTTCTTATTACTTTGCATTTGATTGTTGTTCGGGAATGATATATATATATATATATATATATATATATATATATATATATATATATATATATATATATATATATATATATATATATATACGGGGAGGTTCCGCTAAAAACAGGGCTTATGGTGAAAACTAAAAACAGAAAATCTCAACCATCCATTGTTACTAACAAGATCTAACGGTTTAAAAAAAAATAAAATAATGTAAAGTCACTATATATAAAAATAACGTAACTGTATACAAAAATAGGGTAACTATATCAATTTTTACAACATTTGTCACTATATACAAAAATAGGGTAACTATACCAATTTTGATCCTATTCATAGAAGTCACTATATACAAAAATAGGGTAATTATATCAATTTTGACCATATTTACATAAAGGTCACTATATACAAAATAAGGTAACTATATCAATTTCGACCACATTTACAAAAATGTTACTATATACAAAAATAAGGTAACTATATCAATTTTGATAACCCCATTTGGAGGAGGAATCCAACGCCTTGGCCTGGTACGGGGGGCAGTACCTATATGTTGGGGAGGGTTCTTCAGCTTTTCTCACTCCTCTGTCCACCGTAGCACACGAGCCTTTAAGACAACAACTGGAGTTTCTTTCTCCTAGAAATTTTCACATTTCTATCTTGCCAAATCCTCCATATTAAAATCTAAAAAGAACTTACACTAACATATTTTTGCTAATAGCAGTGGACTTATAGCAATGGAACAGCTACACTACAACAAAATAAGATCAATTTCCTTCCAAAATTGCAAAGTTTCATCATATATCTCAAATCAGTACTACTGTAATACAATTTGGATATAGTGTACACCAATACTAGACAAATATGGGTTGTGACCCCTAAACTGAAGTTGGCGTTTCCTTATCTTGCTCAGTACCCTTGTCCTCATCGCTTTGGCTTCCAGCATAACCATTCTGTGACATCTTGAGCTCAGATGGAAGATTTTTCCTGGCTTTGCGGCTACCCACGATCTTCCATTGATCCCACACCTTTGTTTTTGGAGGTGGGGCAGTATCTCCAATGGGTGCAACCAAACCTGGTGTTGGAAATCTCGCTCAATCAGTGAAGGCGATTCAACCCAATCCCACTCTCCGACGACCAATTACGGAAGTCAATCACAGCTCTTCACCGATCTCATCTTCTTCGTTCACCCCTACCCCCGAACCAAACTTCGGTGATAAACCCACCCTCACAAACACCGATTGTAACCCCCACCATCCTAAATAAAAAAAATAGCAAAATCGCAAATTAATCAAACAAAAAAAAGCAAAAACCCTAAATTGAACGGGAAATGGAACAAAATTGAACAAAATCGAACAAAATGGAACAGAAAATCGCAAAATCAAACAAAATCGAACAAAATTGATGAAAAAAAGTCGAAAAAATTGATGAGCAAAAGTCGCAAAATCGCACTGGAAATCGAACAAAATTGATGAACAAAACACGCAAAATCGCACAAGAAATCGCACAAAATTGATGAACAATTTTAGAGAGAGAAGTTGCGTGAAGGAGAAAGAAGTGAGGGAGTGTATGTCTAATACACGAATTACTAAATCCCAAAAAAATCAAATCGAAAAATCAATTTGGTATTTCCAAAAACACGTATATAATACCAAATTAAACAAATATCATAAACGAAAACTCACTTTTTTGAAGCTATTGACGAAGATTGAACCAAATTCCTCTATAATTTGATGATGTTTAACATTGATATTGAATTGGGAAGCAGAGAGAATGAAGAAGATGGTGAACGTAAGATGGAGGAGAAAGAAAAATAGAGTAAAAAGTAGAGGAGTGGATGGATTTTCAGAAATCAAGGAACAAATCCCACGGTCAAGAATAACTATCACACGGATATAATCTCCTCCGTCAGATTAGAATTCAATGGTCTAGATTACTTGTTTTTAGTTTTCAGCCTTAGACTTGTTTTCACATGATCCACTCCCTATATATATATATATATATATATATATATATATATATATATATATATATATATATATATATATATATATATATATTTTCAGAACTAAATCTTTTCCTTAATAAAAAGTCATACGACATATACAAATGAGATATAAATTTAACTAATACATAAATTTGAAATCAACCAAGATTTCCTCAAAACTTCGCTCATTGAATAGATGTGATACATCTCTCACATATATCATTGGAATATACATTCATTTTCAGAAAGATATTCTAAGATTTACGGTGGTTATGAGGACTATTTTCATCTAATTCATTTGAACTTATC